TCGAACTCCTGAATTCAAACAATCCGCCCGCCTCAGCCTCCCAGAGTGCTAGGATTACAGGCGTGAGCCACCGCACCCGGCCTAGAATCATAATGTTCTAAAGCCAAAAAGAAATCTCAACATTGTCTGGCCCAACATGTCCATTTCTAAGTAAGGGAACTGAGACCTGAAAGATGCAATACCTGGAATATCATCATGATTAAACAGAGGCATTAGAGTTTGACTACGTGTATTCAAATCCCTACTTTGACAAATGTTAGGTTATATGACCTTGAATTTATCTGTGGTTAAAATTCCTCATCTATAAAATAAGGAAAATTATAGAATCCACCTCAGTAGGTTGTCACGAGAATTAAATGTTACAACACGTAAAACACTGCCTTATTCAGTTCAGGCTGCTGTAACGAGCTACCATAGATTGCATGTCTTAAAGAACAAACATTTATTTCTCATGATTCTGAAGGCTGGAAGTCTGACATCAACCCAGCATGGTCAGGGTTCTGGTGAGGGCCCCCTTTCTTCTTCCAGAGTGCAGACTTCTCGTGCTAGCCTCACATAGCAGAAAGACATCGCATGGGAGAGTTCCCCGGGGTCCCGTTGATAAAGATACTGATCCCATTCCTGAGGACCACACACTTACCACCCAATTACCTCCCAAAGGCCCCACCTCCCAATATCATCAAATTTGGGGGTAGGATTTCAACAGATGAATTTTTGGGGGGCATAGGAACATTCAGTGCATTATTGACATGTATAGTACCTGGCATATAGTCGGTACTCAGTATATGCAAATATGATTTCCCATGGTTATTCGGCCAGTAAATACCAGAACCAGAACTGGTCCCCCAAGTTTTTGAAGCCCTAATTGAGTGTTCTCAATTGTATTACTTGAAGTTATGTCTTACGGTGCTTGTTTAAAGCCATCTGTGAAGATAAGGTGCTCCTCTAGTCTGCTGTTTAAAGAAGCTCTCAGTTATCTCTCTAGCTCCAATTCCTCTACAGTTCCTGCTTCCTGCTTCTGCCAGCCCTGGTTCCCCCCACCAGCCTCAGCAATCCTGGCACACTGTGAAGTTCCAGGGGAGGAGGGGAGCATGAGAAATTGGCAATGGACATGAATTTCATAGTCAACTATATAGTTTACAAGTTCTGATCTAGGAAAATTTTACTAATTTAAATTTCAAAGGACCAACAAATCATTGAATTAAAGGGGCTTGAATTATCTGTTATTCCTCAACCTATACAGTTTCAACACTACCAGCTTAAATTTTAAGTAGTTCCTTAGCAGGACCCAGTGGGACCAAGAAAAAGCCTTCTTTTAAGTTCAGAGTGTCTGTCTAATCCTTCAACAAATTGGTGATGGAAGAGAACAATCTTCTATGTCTCTCCACCTTTCCTTTTTAGTCTCTGGTCTCACTTTTCAAAACTCCCCCAGGCCCATGATCTTCATGCAGTCTGCAATGAACCACAACTCACTTTTTTATCTCTAGAACCTAGTTTAGTAACCGGGTGTGATAGGCGCCCACATGTTGTTGAACTGACCGACTGGAGCAATGCCACACATACCAAAGGAATCCCTTCCTCCTCCCGCTTCCAATCTTTGTCTCCTCAGTTGACTGTCTGGAGCTAGTTGTCATCCTGCTACACTAATTCACCGGAAAGCATGGCAACAGCTGAATGTGAAATAAATATGCATTTTACAATACGAAGTACATTCAAAGGGGTTTATTTTAATGGTGTAAATCCAAGCAG